TGACCCCTGCTGGTGGGACTGTGAATAGGCCCTTTCCGAAACTCGCGGGAGAATACTGATCAAAAGCCTTCAGAGTGTTCGTATCTTTGACCTTGCCGTGCCAGTGTTGTGGCTTTCATCAGGGAAATAATCCGAGACAGGCACAAACAGAGCCACCTACCTCACTGCACCTTCATACAAGCAAGAGGACGTCTTTTCAAAAACCAGCTTCCTTCTCGGGATGAAGGCTGTATCCCAATGGTGTCTACTCACGTTTTGAGCATTTAACATTTTTTTTAAGTGTATTTAGTACAGGGTCTCACTATGCAGCACCGCTCCAATCCCAACCTCCCTGGCACTAGGATTACAGGCATGTACCACCACGCCTGGGGATTGAAGCCTATTGCCTTCGCTTGCCTAAGCAGGCGCTTAGTCCGCTGAGCTATCTCACCAGCACGTGCTGAGCACTTTTCTGAACAGTTTCCGTGCACTAACTCCTGGTAGTGCTCCCAGCCCAGCTGGGCTCCCAGGTTTTCATCCTGGTACCTGCTCATTCTGCAATCGCGGGAACCGATCTTCGGAATGAAATACCTTGCCTGGGCACCCACAACGTGGTGAGAGAACACCGCTGGCTGGCCTGGCCTCAGGACTCACCCAGCGCGTCCTAGAGGCCAGGCATTGCTTGGGGCACTTTCCAGGCACTAGTACTTTTATCCAGGAACCCAATCCTGGGAAGCAGGTACTACTCTGAACTCCACATTGCAATCGAGGAAACTAAAGCCAGAGAGAGGTTCAGGGGCTTAAAGATGGGAACAGTGATGACAGAATTAACAACAAGCAGCTGGGCAGTGGGCCAAAGAACCCACGCCCACACCTGGGCGACCAGGCGGGGCTGAGCTGGAACAGTGCCTCACGACCCTGCGGCTCACCTGGCCCTTCCCAGGTGCGCTCCCCCCACCCCCACCTCGCCCTTCCCAGGTGAGCTTCCCCCACCCCGGTGTCTCCAGAATGGCAGCCCCACGCCCACGCTGTCTTCACAACTCAGCACACAAGTGCACTAGCTAGTGTCTTCCCTTCTCTGGGGCCTGTGTGCTTCCCCCAGGATGGGGCCAGCGGTCAGAGACCTCAGTAGAAAGGAGGAAAAGTAGCATCTCACAGAAGAGGAACATGCTGGCCAGGAACATGCACATCGGCAATGATGACCAGCTGGCTGGGATCCAGGGCCAAAGTGGAAGCCCCACTATGCGCATGGTGTTTGCCAGGCACTGGGGAGCTGGGACACGGTCACTCCCCAATCAGCGGGAGAGCACATAGGCACACAGGGAGAAGGACAATGAAACTTGCTTCTTTCTGAAAGCAAGTTTCTGAAATCAGTAAAGAGTAGCTGGAGCCCAGGGTCAAGGGGATGGGCCGGGAGATAGCTCAATAGAATAAGTGCTTGCCTGGCAAGCACATGGTCCTGAGTTTAATCCCCAGTACCGCAGCGGGGGGGGGGGGGGGAGCAAGTAGAAAGCGAGGTGTGGTGGCCTGGGCTTGTAATTCCAGCTCTCTGGGAGGCTAAAGCATAAGGATTTCAAGTTTGAGCCCAAACTTGGTAACCAAAATGGGTAATTTAGCAACTTAACAAGGCCTATAGGCAACTTAGCAACTTTATGCAGTCTCAAAAAAAAAGGGGGGGGGGACTACCCACTCAGGCCCCCCTACTGTCCCTCTCTTGGACAGGAGCTTTCTTTCTCTCAATAAATATATTCTTCTCATTAAAAAAACCCCAAAAACCTCTTGGTGTGTTGCTCAGGGTGAAGGTCCTGGGTTCAATCCCCAGTTGTTTTTTTTTTTTTTT